TGTTTGAGAGAGAGAGAGTGAGGGAAAAAGCATAAGTAGGGGGGAGCGGCAGAGGCAGAAGGAGAAGCATGCTCCCCGCTGGGCAAGGAAGCCCAAAGCGGGGCTCGATCCCAGGACCCTGGGATCATGACCTGAGCCAAAGGAAGACAATTAACTGGCTGGCCACCCAGGCGCCCCTGGACCAAACTTTCAAAGGTGTTTCTAAACACTTAATTGTCATGTTCCTAACCCCCAACCCCGTAAAATAAGCTTTTTTTTTCCTTAAACAAAAAAAAAGCTACTCGTAAGAACAGATATTTAAGGGCCAATCTAATAGGCGTAACCTTATGGAAAAGAAAAAGAATGAACAAACTAAATAAAATAAAAATCCCTTATCACCAGAGCAAAAGTCACACTTGGTCCTTCCAGGAGGCTTCTTTTATTTTCCACGCAGTTAAATTTTTGGTGAACAGAGTATCTTGCCTTAGTTCTTACACCACTCTGAACAGATAATCCCATCAGGTTGTTACTGTGTCCTTGGGGGTTGCACATCTTAGTAGGTAGGAATCCTCCCCTCACAACAAATAATGGAGGCATGGGACACTTTCAACAAACACCTCAGCGGGTTCATGACTCCTGACTCTCTTGACCTTGGGAAATCTGCTAGGTCCCGTGCTTGCAATGACACGGCCGTCTTCCTCCCCAAGTCCTCACACAAGATTAAGGTAGTTCAGCCCTGTGCCCAGGAGGGTGCTTCTTCTTGACTTTGAGGAAATACAAAATATCCAGTCACACCTTACTTTTTAGAAATGGCATTTGACGATACACTGCCAGCATCTTCTAAATGTTTTTTTAAATTCTGTTCTTTGTTCACAGTCCAAGGTCTTAATTCAGCGAGCATGAACTATCTGCCACCAGGGGGCAGGCAACAGGGAACAGGTTCTCAGGAAGCCCCTGCAGAGAAGCAGCTCACTGAGCCGGAAGGGAAAGACGTGGGAGAGACGTGCACCCACTGTAGTGACTGATGGGAAAGGTAAGCTGTACAGTCGAGACCCAGGTGAAAGTAATTACTCAGACTTAACTATTAAAAATTAAAGATACCACTTTCAATAAACTGTATTTTGCACTAAGGTTAATTTTTGTGCTTATCACTACTATAGCATTTATTTCTTTCCTGTTTTCTATCCCTTTTATTAAATACTTTAAATGTAAGGAAAATAAAGAATATGATGAATAACCACATACCCATTACCGTGCTTTGCTAAACTGTAAACTTTGGAGACACTCGGTTCAGATTTTTTTTTTTTAATATTTTATTTATTTATTTGACAGAGAGAGACTCTGTGGGTCCACGCAGCACGTGGCTGATAGCAAGTCTCATTCTGGGAACAGGGACCAAAAGCCACCACCACATCTTGTATCACCTTCATCATAATCAAGCTGCTACCATGACCTCAGGCTGCCTGACCCTTCGTCGTTCTGTGGGTTCTGAGCACGGGCATGGAAGGTTGGAGCGATCTACTGACCCCTTGGGGGTCTGGGTCCCACTATCCAATGTACTAGCTTGAAATCTTGAGAAGTGGAAAAGGAGGATCTGGGCAACACCACAGCCACGTGTGAAGAGGCAGGCCGTCACCCTTGGGCATGCACTGCTTCTGCTCTCAGGGTGCAGCTTTGAGGACACAGCTTTGCACAATTTCAAACTTTCCATAAATTATATCGGACGAGACGTCTTCTGTATTTTGTATTTCTTCTTCACGGCATAATGATTAATTCATTTTTACATCTGTAGTACTCCAGTAGATATGAAAACACCATAATTTAACTGCTCGTTGTATTACTAAAGACTCAGATTACTTAAAATTTTTTGCTATCAAAAATAATTGTTTTGGGGCGCCTGGGTAGCTCAGTCGGTTAAGCATCTTCCTTTGGCTCAGGTCATGATCCCAAGGGTCTTGGGATTGAGTCCGCGTCCTGATGGGGCTCCCCACTCAGCAAGCAGTCTGCTTCTCCCTCTGCTCCTCCCCCTGCTTGTGCTCCCTCTCGCTCAAGTAAAATCTTAAAAAAAATAATTGTTTTGAATATTCTTTCACATTTGAAGAGCTTTCTAGAAATGTCTCTAGAAATGGAAAGTCTGCTTGTGGCAGTGCTCCCCAAAGTGACTGACCCAGCCCCCACTCCCACTGACAGCGCGTGAGAGCCCACAGTCCTGCCAACACAGGCACGCGGAGGAGACTCCAGGCCAGCACATGTGACGAGCAGCCCGCACCTGCCTTCCCCTAACCACTGCTGAGCCCCTCTTCATGGTTACTCATCACGCACATCTTCTCTTCCCTGAGTTCTCCACCAGGACGTTTTGCCTATTTTCCAACTGGGCTTCCTTTTGTTTTGATTGCTGTTAAAGTTCTTGATGCGTTCGAAGTATCTCCTCCTTGCACCTCTTATATACATAGCAAACGTCTTCTCCTAGTCTGCAGGTTCTAAAAAACGCTTTTTTTTTTTTAAGATTTTACTTATTTATTTAAGAGAGAGAGAGTAGGCACACAGAGGGAGAGAGAGGGAGAGGGAGAAGCAGACTCCCCACCAAGCAGGGAGCCTGATGCGGGGCTTGATCCCAGGACCCTGGGATCATGACCTGAGCCGAAGGCAGACGCTTAACAACTGAGCCACCCAGGTGCCCTAAAAAATGCCTTTTTAATAGAAGTTTTACAAGGTTCAATGTGTTCAGGTTTGTCAACATTTTTTTCTTTTGGATTCTGCATCTCGATTTCAGCGATTCTCTCTACCCTAAGGTCACAGGGTATTTCCCATATTTCTCTCCAGCAGGCTCTGAAGTTCTGCCCTTCACATTGAGGTGTTTAACCCACATTGAGCTGGTTTGTGTGTGTGGCTCAAGGGAGGACTCTGATTTTATTCATCCGCATGGACAACTAATTCCCACCCCCCAGCAGCCCCCAGGCTCCCATGCATGTGCGCACCTGGCTGCCCCTCCCCTTCTCCCCCATCCAGTCTGGACACGCCGAGCTGCCGAGCACAGGGATAGGAACTCAGGGCTTTGCCATCTGCTGCACAAGTCCCTCACTTCTAGTTATTCTTGGCTATTCTTGGCCTTTGCTCTTCAATAAACTGTAGGCTCAGTTTGCCAAGTTTCATGAAAAACCCTGCGAGATTTCTTTACTGGGATAGCTGGGAATTTATAAATTTGGGAGAAACAATGTCTTTATGTATTGAGTCTTTTCATCATGAACATGCTGTTACACAGGCTGTAACAGAGAAGCCTTATCAGAGAAGCCTGCCCCAGGGCTCTGGTTTTCCCTTTTCATGTTTCCCTCTCATTGCTGTATTGGTGCAGGCAAATATCAGTGTGAGGTTACTACAACATTTCAACCCTGTTTTTTCCCTTTACAAAATAAAAACAAAGCAGTGAACATCACCATAATGAGTTCACATGATGTAAAAAATGGCAGGTGGTCGAAGCGCAGCTGTGCCCCGTGAGGCAGCCTGGAATGTTCTCCCCTAAGCTTCTGACGCAGTCGGGCTTCAACACGTCCAGTAACGATCAGAGGCCAGAGTCTCACGCACAGAGCTGAAGCTGGCGGTACCCAAGGGCTGAAGATGCCTTCGATTACCGTACGTTACAGGAGTATGTGAGTCTCCAGCCCCGGCCAGAGTTGGTGCCGTTCTGTTTCAGGCCGCAGGTCGGACGCACTCGGCGACCTCACATGAGCGCAGCGCTGACTCGGGTGCGGCACGCTCACCTCCTAAACCACCAATTTCCATTTTCCAACATGGATTCATTTCTTTTGAACGTGGTCCTCAAACTATCCTAAATTAATAAACATGTAAATACCACTTTCTTAGTCCAGTGGAGATTTGGAAAAGCTGAACACTATGACTGCTAAGAGGGCTCCAAGGACGGAGGCAGAGTTGTAATTTTTCCAGAAGGCCTTCGGAGTGAATTCAAGTCAATGACACACCTAATACTTCAACACATACATACAGCACATCACCACCTACCTTCTTTTTCACCCCGGGCACTGCCCACGAGGAATCTGGACACCAAGGGTGTGCTCGATAAGGACAAGCAGGTAGAAATAAAGACGCTCTGAGTGGGTCTGATCTGTAAAAGGTGTCCCCATAACAAGCCAAATGCGATCATTAACAGCGTCATATAACATGGTCCTTGTAAGGCTATCTTCCACACCTTCAAAAGAACACATTTGTTTACACACATTAGTGACGACATGCAGAGCACACACCGCCCGCTCATGGGCCTCCATCTCTCAGGAAGGCGCTCTGCCGTGAACACCCCATCAGCACAATACCCGAAGCCGTGATCTGAACACAGTAAAAACAGTGACCATTCCTGTCGGCTTCCTGAGTGCTCGGTGTTGCCACAGGGACTAAACACACGCCTCTCTCCGTGTATACATGTCCGTGCACATATAACCTAATCCTCACAACACGTCTCCACGGCGGACTTCCCCAGATGAAAACACGTGGTCCCATGGAAGCCAGCACGGCTCAATAATCAAATACCGATGAGGCACCTCAGTGTTTTCTTAGCGCTGTGTTAGAAGTGATGGAAAATGTGGAGGAAATCAGGTTTGATGCTAACTCTCCAGGGTTTTCAACTGTGTTGAAGAGACACAGTAATAAAGACTATCTGACATTTATACAAACAGGAATGGTATATACTGACAAAAGAAATCATCCTGACACTCATCCTATCCTACTGGAAAGCACCTGTTTCTTTTCTTCTCGCCCCACACCCTCTCAGGCAAAACCAGCTCCCACACCCAAGCCCTCTGGCAAGAACGTGGGGGGGCCCAGAGTGGGGGCAGGAGGGGCTCAGCGCAGAGGCTCTGAGGCCAACAACGCTCGAGGCCCCACAGGCTGGCCAGCCTCGTCAGCGTGTTAACACACCATTCACCTTTCGGGGCTCCGAAGGATGTGGCCTTTTCCTCCCCTGCTCTGCCTCTTGGTAAAAAGCTACCCTTCCCTCAAAATCACAGCACTGTCTTTGGGAATCAGGGCACCCAGGAGGCTCTTCGTAAGGCTGGGTTCTGATTCCTACCGTGGACCTCCCCACAGCCATAACTGGCTGCCAGGCTGCGTGTCCACCACAGAAGCTTCCAACTTCCCGAAGTGAATTACAAGAGCCTCCCAACACCGCCAAGTCCCAAGCCAAATGGCAGGAGACTCAGAGGCAACAGAACTGGGGGCTCAGCCCTGAGGGCAGAGCGGTCTGTTCTCTGCCACTCGGCTCTGGCCAACCCAGGCCCCGGTACTCCTTCCAGAGAAGCCAAGGTTCGGATTCCACACTCCTTACTTCCTGCCCCTGGCAGTGGCGATGGCCGTCATGGCTAATAGCCTCCCAACAGCTCTCCTTCTTCCTGTCACAGCCAGGACTGGTGGGAGGGCCCGGGCGCACCTGCAGAGCTAGCCACAGCTCCTGGGGAGGCGGCATGCTGGATTTTAAGATTTCCAATTTTTTTTTTTTAATGTTTTATTTATTTGAGAGAGACAGAGATAGTGAGAGAGAGCATGAGCAGGAAAGAAGGGGAGAAGCAGACTCCCTACTGAGCAGGGAGCCCGATGCGGGACTCAATCCCGGGACCTGATCATGACCTGAGCTGAAGGCAGACGCTTCACCGATTGAGCCACCCAGGCGCCCCAAGATTTCCAAGTTTTAGGTAGCCCCTCCTGTAAGCAGCTGGGGCATTCCTGCCCGTAAGGGAGCCCGGAGCTCGGAGCTCGGAGCTCAGGCCTGACCCTGTCACTGGCTGGCTGGCTGTGCACCTTGGGTAGGTAATGGTCTCTCTACTCTGCTTCCTCCATCTGTAGACAAAGGCCAGGCTAATGATTTCTGAGGTCGCTACCACACTTTGATGAGGAGGATGGGTATCTGTCAGCCCAAGAAGCACAGCGTGGAGGGGACGATGGTGGGAAATGTGGGCCACACAGAGCATCTGGACCACCCTCCACTCCCAGAAACACAGGCCCTCGGGCCACGCATATCAGAACCTGACTCAGCAAGGGCCCCAGGTAACTCCCCGAGCCAGGTCAGGGCAGGCCCCTCCCCGTGCGTCTGGACCACAGACGCATGCCCTTTCCAGCTCCATTTTCGCGTCTCTGTCCTAGGGCTTCTCTTCACAGCCCTACACGTCCTTCTGAAATCCCAAGGTGGAAGCCCCACAAGGCAGGATCACACACCTGTGCACACCACCTCACATTCCGCAGCCACCAGTGTCTGCAACAAGGGAACTGAGGGAACAAATAAGGAGAAAAAGGGGAGAAGACACAACTCCCACACAGACCTGGGGAGGTGTCACGATGAAAGCCGAGCCCACGGTGGGAAGGGAAACAGAACACAGCCAGGCAGGGACACAGCAACTCAGTGGGACGTGCAGTCAGGGGAGGAAGACTCAGCTTTCCTCAGCGCCAACAGCTAAGAAGTTCCCAGACCTCAGTGCTTGCAAGAGCTTCCAATCAGACCTTCCGGTGATTTCACAGGAGACCTAAGGGGATCTTCCACCAATTACTATTTCAAACCCGACCGAGTGGTTTCCCACCAGGACGGGGCACACGGCTGACCCGAGACTGTGCTGGCTACTTCCAGCTGCTCTGGAGCTGAGCCCGAGACTTACGCTGGGGAACAGGAAAGGAGAACAAACGTGTCACTTGGCAGTGCCACTTACTAGGCAGAGATGAATCTGCAAGCCCACCACGGGGGGCTGACAAGCGAGGATCCATGCCAGAGCGGTCCCAGCTCAACCGAGACAAGGTCGCTACATAGGGGATGGGCCCCCGTTCAAGCGTCCTCCCACTTCTCAGACCACCTCACACGACCTGAAACCGAACTGCGCACACACGTTCACCCTCCTGTGGGTGCACGGCCCAGCGCAGAGGTAAACGGCTGCCAGTGGAAAGCCCAGAGCACTCCAAAAGCAGCACCACGCTGACAAGGGCGTGCGGTTTCATACTGTTTAAAACTATGTTCATGTGCTGCTAAATAATATTCTCACTTAACACTGAATACTACCATGGTGAAAAACAGAAATTATGAAAATGCAGAGCCAGAACAAACTTTAATCTTTCAACCCCCTGTGTAGATGACACTGATGTCCAAGGCGTGAGGCACTCCGTTGAGACCGTCAGGCCAGTCAATGCACAGCCAGAACTCTGCCCCTCTCTGTCCCAAACCACAAGGGAACTGAGCTGTTTGCTGTCAACTGCACTCAACTAAACACACACGAGACCCCGGAGGAGCCCGCGCTGAGCACGAAGCGGGGACAGCCTCGAGGAGGACCTTCCTGCCCACAGGCCCCTGGCTCCTTGCAGACCCTGCCGGTCCCCGCCAGGCCCCCTCAGCACGGCGAACAGAGGAGCGGGGCAGTGTCCTTTCAACTCTGGATCTGAGAAGTCACGTACGGGGGTTAAGCCAGAAGCACACAGAAGGGTATGAAATACCTGGAGGAAACACTAAAGTGATTCAGAATGAGAAGGCGTATCTTGAGAAGCACATTAAAGGAAGTGACAGTGATCAGCAGACGGACAAATGGAGCTTTCCCCAGAAAGAAACAGCAAAGAAACGAGAGGTCAGAGAGGAACAGGATGAACCAAGGCTGACACTCCAATGCACTTTTCTTTGTCACCGCACAGCTCTCGACACCTCTCCCAGCACACACGCCGCACCCGGCTGCTCCTCGTCTGTCATAGAAACGCCATGATGCGGAGCGAACACCTCTTGTGGGTTCATTTTTTTCAAAAACTTGTGCTGCAGTCTTTCCCTTGGGCTGAGAGCTGGCATTCGCACTGGCAGGTTAAGGCTTGTCAGTCACCCTGCTGGGCTGCTCTGCTGCCCAAGCGGCCTGCGCGGCCGGGCCTGGGGGCCTGGGGCACTGCAGTCGCCCGCCCTGCCCTTCTGTCCCCTGGCTGCTTTCCTCCTCTGTGAGGGAGGCGCTTCTCATTAGCTCCCTTCCGACTCCCTCGCTCTCCGCTCCGGCCCTCAGCGCTCAGAGCGAGCGCGCTTCCTGGATTTCACCGTTTCCGCACGCGCGGCCCCAACTGCGACCGGCCTTCCAGGGACTGGCACTTTACAGGGACAGAACGACAGAATCACAGTTTGCCACTTGTTTAGGAATTAAAGACCTTTTTCCAGGGTAACACACTGAACATCTGATCCTTGTGACAGTTCAGCCTCGAGCAGTGTTGGACCTTCTTGGAGGGACCTCATTATGAAGTCTCAAACACGTCACTTCTCAGACCCTTTTTGGAAATCAGCCACATGAAAGCTCATTTTATTTATGCATTGAATTTTCACCTTTTCCAGCATTTTTTATCTTTCAGAATTTACGTTCCAAAAATAATATCAAACTAAAACCTATTCTAAAATGTTTAATTTGATAGTCCAATCATAGACACACACTGAAAGTAAACAACCTGAATCCATACGATGATAAATTGGAGGCAACAACACCGCTTGGTGAAGCCCTTACCTTTCTCAGCCTTTCTGGGGAGAACTCCAGGCCAACGAGGAACAGAGTAAAGAACACACCGACCTCTCCCAAGGTCTCCACCTGCACAACAGACTGCAAACACAATTGGAAAACCACACAATTCAATGTATTTCCCCTCTGAAGTATACTTCATAGAACAATCTTATACTAACATACTCAGTGGGACCACCCCAAAAAAGCACAGTGTTTTTTTTTAAACTAACTCTTTGAATGTCCTCTGTATCTGAGATAACTTGAACTTCCTGATTGTACTGTTTTCCTTTTTCTTGATTAGCTGAAGGACTCTGGGTCTTTTTTCCTAAGAACTAGCTCATGAAGTCACCTGTTTTCAGTTTCAGCAGCTGCTGCTACTCTTCATTTCTGCCTGCCTTCACTTTCTCTGGAGGATGGCGCAGCACCGAACCTGAGTGGGGCGTCTGAACCCCGAGGGCCCACTCTCCCGAGGGTCTGCGCACGACTACGTGTACCCGCTTTCCCCTGGGTGCCACAGCTGGCCACATCCCACAGGTTTTGAGACACTGTGTTCTTGTGTTCCCTGTTTGTTCTGGTTCTTCGTTTGCTGTTTACTTCCTCTGCCATCATGCGATAGTAGAGAATGCTTTCCACGCTGTTCTATTTGGTACCACCTACGTTATTTACACTGTGGTTTCCAGTGCAGCCGTGAACTGCACGTCTGAAAGTAAAGCACAGGCCTCCACATGTCCACGCCTGCCCTGACCTGCTGCACACGGACACTCACGCAGCCTGCCAGCCGCCGACAAGACAGGCCCTGCCCTCTTCTTCACTGCCATCTCCCTCCATTCACTTCAACCTTTCTTACCCATCTCATTTTCACTGAATCTTGCTTACTGTACATTTTTCCTGATTCCATCTGCAAACCTGTATCTTTTTTTTTTTTTTAAGATTTTATTTATTTATTTGAGAGAGAGAGAATGAGAGAGAGAGAGAGCACATGAGAGGGG